CTGGTGGTGACAGCTGTCTGGGGGGCCATTGGCATTTCCTGGTTGATACCCCCCCCGCCCAGCATTTTCCAACCGGGTATCATTGCATCCAAAACAGCGGCAGGGAAGGATCCCAGTCGGAGTGCATTTGCTCCTGCCCTGTCTTCCCCAGAGCGTGAGCCGGTCCGTGTGTTTGTGTTTCCGTATTACCACTCTCACTTTGCTTTTGAAACAGCAACAAAGAAAGAGGAATATTGGTCTCTGTGGCTGCCAGTACCCTGCATGCCAGAATCTCGTGCTTGCTGAAGCCGCCAGATGGTGGTGGGACTGTGTGTGGTTTTGTTTCCTCTGCTTTTTGAAAAGTCGTGAAGTGGGAGAGGCTGGGGAGTGCGAGCTTGGCTGCAAGATTGTCAGCTGATAACAGTTTGCAGTGTCTTCCACCCTACATGTGGGCACAAGGGTGTCTTCCCAAACTGTGTTGCTGACCCTGTCCAGCGTTTGCTGAGTGCACGGTATTAGCTGTTCCGTAAACACCAGCTGGATCATCCATCGCCCGTAAGCCACATACAGTAGCTGAATAATACAGTTTTTCAAACAGGAAGCTCCATGTGTTTTTCTCTTCCGCGAAGGTGGAAGCGGGTGGTTGGGATTGCCATTGTAGCAAAAGGGAAGTTTGGCTTCCTTTGTGGGGGAGATTTAAGGGTTTATTTTTAAAAATCTTTATACTTTTTTTTTTTTCCACTTTTGTCCTAAGGGACCCCATGAGGACAAAAGGGGGCAGATCCTTCCACTGCTTAAAATACTGCTCACGTTTCTCATCTGTTAGTTTCCTTGAAATCAGATTGTGGATTTGTTGCAAGAACGTATTTGGGTGATCTAAGTAGCACATGCAGAAGTGTTGGGTGTTCTTGAAACCATGGTCAGGGTTAACATAAGGTGTTTGGATGCTGTTCCGTGACTGAAGCCTGACCAGTGTCTCTACTGAGCGGAGCTGCTTACATAGCTAATGTGAATGGTAAACTGTCTGTATGGTAACCCGTGATACGGAACTGGTTATTTCTTTCCCCTTCTCTTCCCCTCCCCTCCGCTCCCCACCCTGTCCCCTCCGTTAAAGAAATGTAGGGCATCAGATGATGCCACCTTTTCCCTGTTGTCCATCTCTCTGTGCCCGAGGATAAAAATAAAATGCTGATGAAGCCAAAAGAAACACAGTTAATTTGTTCTTAATATCCTGAGTGCCTTCTTTGACCTTTAAATGAAAATGATGGTGCCCCTGACAGGAACCAGCCTCCTCACAAATGCACAGGGATGGACTTGGGTGTGTTTCCCAAACATGAGAAAGGACAGCCAGTGTGGGACTCCTTAGAGGGCATCAGGAGCTTCTTTGCTAATTAAAGGCTGGAGTGTGATGCTGAGCAGTAAGGAACTGCTGGTTTGTTGCTTGGTGAGTTTTCTGAGGGACCTTCCTGCCCAAAGGTCACCCTGAAAATTCCTTGCTTCCACGTTTGGATGAGCTGTGGGTTCCATGAGGACTGGGGCTGTCTCCCTGTCCATGGCATGGGAATGGGACCACAGTAGCATTTCCTCAGTGTTTGTTGAGTGTAGGAATGCTGTCCCGTCTCTTCTCCAGCATCCTGGCTGCCATAAGATGCTTTTCCTTAGAGGAAGAAAGAGGGTCAGCCTGTTGGTCACCTGGAAAGTCCACTTTCTAGAGCCTCAGGCCGGTCTGCCCACCTCCAGCTGAGGTCCAGTTGGTCCCCTGCCTGGAGTGCCAAGTGCTCCCCACAGACCCATTATGTTGTTGGTCCAGCTATGGTAGGTGCCCCTGATGGCCCTTTGGACTTGGCCCCTTGGACTGGGTATTTGGGTAATGTGTGGTCTTGGTTAGGGCGTCATGGTTGAGCTTCTCCAAGGATAAGAATTGAGCTCCCCTCTTTCTTATTAGAATTCAGGCTCACACTCAGGTCCCTGAGACACTTTTACTCCCCCTTTCGGAGTCCGGGTACCACCACTCAGAGCTGTGAGAACCCCGAAACCTGCCTGCAAGATGGCAGAAGTGGGGCGCCAGCTTCCCCGTCAGGTGCGGCACCGGCGTGTGTGTGGAGCCGTGGTGGCTGTGGCAAGGGCGGCAGATGGTGTCCCCAGCCGTGCCCTGCGCGGTCTGGCCAGAGCGACAGGTGACGCACGCCGAGGCAGCTTCTGTGATGCCACGCCCGGGCGGACTTCCAGCTGGCCGGCAAGGTGAAAGACTCCTGATGTTCCAAGACTTCGGGGCTCTTGAAGAGCAGCGGCTGGAGAGAAAGGACAGACATGTCCTCCTATACTGAGCCCACGATGTAACGCCCTGCCACACGCCATTGGCAGGAGAGCTCCTGAGTGCCCTGTGAGGGTACCGAGCGGTGGAGTCCATGGGACCTTTCCTTTTCATCCTTTCCTGGAAGGAGGGCGGTGACACACCTGTCTTGATCTTGCAACATAAAAGTAAACCGCAGAGATAGAGAGCTCGGGACACCTTCAAAAGCTGGCTAGCCAAGGACAGCTGCCTGCCTGTTACGGAGGCCTGGGGGCACCGAGAGATTGAAGCTCACGGCAGCCAGGTGACCGTGAACCTCTTGATACCACAGCTCTGAGTTCCATCAAATGACCACTTTGTTGTTGCATAGCTAAGCAGACCTTTCCAAGGCAGACCCTCTGGACCGCTCCTTCTCAGCCTTTGGTCTCCTGAGATGTTTGGAAAGAAGGAATAATCCGGGCTTTTGCAGAAAACGCCCTTTGTACTGTTAACTTGCCTTCCATGTTCTCATCAGCCAGCTGCTTGGAGAAGGGCAATATTCCATGTGGGAGAAGTGAGGGCCATCCTCTGGTGGCTGGCACATTGATGTGGACAGTCGCTCCAGCCAGGCCAGAGTTACTCTGGCCCCTGCCTTCCTGTTGGAAGTCCTGTTGGACTTGGCTGATTATGGCCACACCAGAGCCCTACTTAATTGGCCCATTGATGTAACCAGCGCTCTGTCTTTCTCTAGAAACTGTACCAACCCCTGCCTTTAGCAAGCTCATAGCTGGTGGGCTGGTGGGCTTCTCTCTGTATATCCACACTACTGTGTGGAATATGAGTGTAAAATCAAGATTGGTTATTTCTGTGAAATAAGTGGAATGCTTAAAATATGGGATAGAAGCAAGTTGCTTTTAAAAAGAAATACCGCCATCAAATGGCATATGGATGAGGCAATTGTGAAAGATTAGGGACAAGATTGTAAAAAACCTGGGATACTCAGGCTGTTTCACAAAAAGCCCAAACTCTGAATCATAGGTGGGTGCATTTGGGTGTGATGTGCGCAGCAGAGATGACCTGAAACACGAACTGGCACGACTGTTTAGTAGAATACAGTCATCCACATTTGAGTCTAAGCAAGTTAGACCCTTCCTGAGGTCACACAGCTAGTGAGTGGGGGAGCTGGGCTTTGAATCCACATTGTTTCCCTTCAAAGCCTAGCTTACTTAACCCTTTTGCTCTACTGCTTTTCTTCTTGATCCCCGTGATAATTTGGGAGATGGCAGGGATCTGACTCCAGATCAGCCACGGTGCGCGTGCTGCTGTGGGATCTCCATGGCCTGCAGGCTACATGGGGTCCGCATGTCACTCAGGTATGCAGCACTGGGGCTGGTGGGGGGGAGTGGAATATAGCTGGGAAGGGGCCCCCAGAACTCTTTTGAGGTCAGTGGGGAGGAGGGGACGGGGTCACACACCACCACAGGTAAGATCTGGTGATTAAACAGATACATTTTGGGAAAAGGTTCCTGATACAAATATGTCACAGGGTGACGAGGTCTTATTTGGGATGTGTGGCGTATCTGGCATGTTTGGTGGTTGTGTGCCCAGGAACCACACACAGCCACCCCCCTGAGATCTCTTAAACTTTAACCAGGTGGTGCGGGGAGCGATTGCATGCATCCGCGTGCACAAGGACGGAGCACCCGCCCAGGCTAGGGTTGCATGGCATTTGTGTATAGTGTCCAGTGTCTCTGATCTTCGGAGACACTGTGGGGCTGTCAGTGCTTCGCTGGCCTGTGCCCAGACAGAAGTCACGGGCTGTTGAGTGGCTAGAGGTCACTTCCGTATTCCACCGCCCTTGTTCCTCTGAGCCCGTGTTGGTCCCACGAAGGAGCTCTTCCTAACTGCATGGACGGTGGAGCTTCGGTGCCTGGGATCGGGCCCGTCTCTGCCCCCCTTTCACGGCTGTGTGGATCCTTCTGGTATTTTACCCTGGAACATCAGCTACCTCTGGTGGAATCCATGTGTCCCTAGGGCTGCAGGGGAGGGAGTCAGTGCCTGTTGACTTTGTGGGGAATGTCAGTTGCGTGTTTTGGAATTAATGTTTCTCTAACGGCAATTGAAGTCGTTTCTTCATCACATGAACAGGGGGTGCCTCTTACCTCTGCTCAGGATGCTGGGGGTGGGCAGCGAGCCCGCCTCTTGGGGCGGCGCAGTGTGTGTTGGCGGGGCCACCGCCGTCCCAGGGAAGATGTCAGCTGTGGCTTGTCCAGGCCCAGCGCCAAGATCATGAGAGCTGTCCTTATGGGAGATGGTCACTGTTCCCCTCGGCTGGTGGCTCTCAACAGGCGCGATTCTGCGCCCTCCCCCCCCTCAGGGTACCTTTGACAGTGTGGAGACATTTCTGGTCATCCTGACCTGGGGCATGCTGTTGGCACCTGGAGGGCCAGGGACGGACGCTGCGGGACACCCCACAGTGCTTGGGGCAGCCCCGCACCACAGAGAAGGATCTGGTCCAAGACGTGAGCCGTGCTGGGGTCGAGAACCCCTGCAGTAGGTGAGCGGCGCTGTCCCTTTGAGCCCTCTCCTGCAGAGGCTTCGGAGAGCCTTCCCCTGTCCTGTGGCTCTTTCAGACTGCTAATTAGGCTCCCAACAACATGAGCCCTCAGAGGGCCTCCGGGAGGTACAGTGACTTATTGTGGCCCTGCGCTTCTTAAATCTTGCTCCCCCTTCCCCCCTTCTGCTGCAGAAGCTGGGCCCGACAGACCGGCTTTTCAGCCCTCCCTGGCCACCTGCACGCTGGAGACCCCACCATGGCCGGTGCATTAGTCCCCCGCTGTGTGGGGAGATGGAAGCCGCCTGCCAATGAGGCTGCGTGGAGGGATGGGGACGAGGCCACCGGATGCATGCCTCTGTCCTGCCTCTCTGCAGAGCCACCATGTGGCAAGTTGTAGTCTGGAAGGGTATAGTCCTCTCAGACTTTTCAGGGGAATGATTGTGGCTCAGTGCCTCCTTATTTTCCCCTGTCGTCCCCCAAATGACATAAAACAGTTCATATTCTGTTTGTGACTTTAATGTGCCTCTTTGTCCTCAGTTGGGAATGTGTCCAGTTTGTCATAGTGGGGAAGGGCCTTTGGGTGTCAGTAAAAGTGGGGCTTGGATCTTTGCTCTACCACTTCTCAACCCTGGGGTCCTCAGCAAGTTAGTTCACCCACCTGAGCTCCAGTTTTTCCATTTATAAAATGGGGACAAGAATACCAACCCCACGGTGTTGCTGCAAAGATTGCCTTCCCTGCACCATTTCGTAGCTTCCCCCCCGCCGCCCACAGCCAGTCCACTGGCCCCTCAAAGGTCAGGCCCTAGTTGTCATCTTTGGAATCACTTCAATTCTTGCTGCAGGCAGATCCTCATTATGGGGTGCATTGAGTCTCCCAAAGAGATAAGTCGAAGTCTTAACCCCCCAGTACCTGTGAATGTGACCTTATTTGGATATGAGGTCTTTGCAGGTGTAATCAAATTAAGGTGAGATCATTAGGGTGGGCCCTAACCCAGTACAGCTGGTGTCTCTATAAGAAGAGAGAAATTTGGACACAGACGTGTACAGAGGATAGAATGCCTTCACAGGTACCTCGTGTGAAGACGGAGACACACAGGAGACTGCCCCTCGACAACGAAGACAGAGACTGGAGTGATGCATCGACAAGCCGAGGGTTGCCTGTAACCACCAGCAGCTGGGAAGAGGGGGGAAGGATTCTCCCCTGCGGGTTTCCGCGGGAGCACAGCCCTGCCCACACCTTCATGTCAGACCTCTGGCTTCTAGAAGTGTGAGACAGTACATTGTGGTTGTTTTAAGCCAGCTGGTTCGGGGTGCTTTGTTACGGCAGCCCTGGGAAATGGATGCAATACTCAATAAGCATTTGTGGAGTTTTTAAGTGTCTTCAGGTGCAAAACAGAGTATTCGGCCCCAGCATTCATACTCTGATAGCCTAGCCTCTGGACTTTTGTCTTTTTTCTCCACCGTTGTGTCCTTTGCAATTCATCCAGTGTAGATCACTGACTAATTTTGTGCTACTGTATTATAAAAACCTTTGCTTGTTACAGCAGAAAGTTCTCATGTGTACCACGTTGGAAAGAATTAAGATCTTTGCCATAAAGCATCTTTGTGTCGCTCAGCAGCTACTGCCCAGACTGCGATTTCTTTCAGCAGCAGGTTGCTTCCTGATGCTCGGGGGAAGTGCAGGAGGCCCATGCTCCCTTCCCTCTTCTCCTTTCAGCTGGCAAGAAACAGAACCAAATCAAAGTGGCTTTAAAAATAAGGAAATGTATGCTCTTGCAAAACAGGAGCTCCAGGCCCAGAGGTTGCTCAGGGTCTGTGTGTTAGTGTCTCAGCTCAGGGAGGTCACTGGGGATGCCGGCCCCTCTGTCTTCTGTCTGGAGGACAGGTCTCATCCTACGGCAGGTGTCCCCATGGCCATAATGATAGCTGACTGCAGCAGGTGGGCAGCCTGCTTTCTGTTCGTGACCTGTGGGATCTCTTTGGTGTGTTGATGTTAAGATCAGGGACATTTTCCCCATAGGCGTCCACAGCAACTTTCTCTCTTCTTTGTCCCATCCCTGAACCAGCTACTGCCAGAGGGGGTGGAATTAAGTCATTGGCCCAGACTTAACCATCTGAGGATGAATGGGCTCTGGAGAGAGACACACAGTGTCCCTGGGCACTCTCCAAATTAGTGACTCTTATGCAGTGTGGTAGGCAGAATACTGCCGTCCCCAAAGGTGTCTCCATCTTCATCCCAAAGGGGACTCTGCAGCTGTGATTCAGTTAAGGATCTTGAGGCAGGGAGATTATCCTGGATTATCCAGCTGGGTCTGTGTAATCACAAGGGTTCTTATAAGAAGGAGGTGGAGGATCAGTGTCAGAGAAGATGTGAGGACCTTGCAGAGATCAGAGAAGAGAAAAGATGCTAAGCTGCTGGCTTTGAAGATGCTGGAAGAGGCCACAAGCCAAGGGATGCAGGCAGCCTCTAGAGGCCGGAAAAGGCAAGGAACAGATTCGTCCCTAGAGCCTCCAGAAGAAACACAGCCCTCCTGACTCCTTGAGTTTAGCCCGGTGAAACGGATTTTGGACTTCTGACTTCTAGAACTGTAAGATAATAAATGTGCATTGCTTTAAGCCAGTAAGTTTGTGGTGACTGATTATAAAAGCAATAGGAAGTGAATATACCATTGTTCCTTTGGATGGACCTTGCATCAGTCTAGACCTTTTCTAAAAGAAGACTCCTGTATTTATTTTGAATATTCTATAGTGTGTACGTAGAAGACACGCAAAGATGTATGGATTAAACAAAAGACAAACCCAACCTCCCTGGTCCTGCCTCCAGGTATAGGCCTGCCTGCCTGGTGATCCGCTCTCAGAATGGTAGATGGTGGCTCCTTCCTTCAGCACCAGGGCTGGGTGCAGGGAATCCAGAAACAAGGAAGCTCTTGTCCTCACTCACAAGCTGCTGAGTGTCTCAGCTATCCATTTGATTCCATAAATATTCTCACTGTCAGATCGGAGCCCTTCCAGATGTCTGCTCTGTCTTTGTAGCTAAAGCCGGTTGCCTCTGAAGCTTTTTCAAACTTGCTGATTTTTTTTTTTTTTTTGGTGAGTTTTAGCAAGGGTCAGGAAGAGCATAAGATGTTAAGCACATCCACAGATCGAGCTATTTTTAGGGTGCCCCATGTTGCTGCGATCAGCAGTAATTCCCGCGGACGGGTCCCGGAGTCCGTGGCGGAGGTCACCCGCCTGTCTCCTGCCCTGTGCCAGTTGGACAGAGACACGCTGTTTGGAAGTTGTCTTTGCTGTTTTCATTTCCTCCCCTCTCAGGCTTTCCTGTGCTGCGGGGGCCCGTGTAGGACCTGCTTGTTATCGTACCATAGACTGGCTGTTTCTGGGAAGCCTCCGGCTTTCCTGGGGGCGGCACACGACCGGTGGCCGTCTAGGGAAAATGTCTGGGAAGGTAACAGAAATAATGGAGCGGAGAAATGGGGGGAGGGAACCGACCTTGAGTGATCTTTTCCAACCCCGGAAGCCCGTCTTGGGGAAAATGAGGCAGGGGTTATCCGTGAAGCAGGTGCCCATCCCTGCACTCTCGGCGGTAGCTTAGCAAGGACAGGAGCTCAGTCCTGCGGTACCAGTTCGACATTTCTAGGCTGCACAGCCAGAATTGGAGAGCGGGGCTTTAAAGGCCTAACAGCCCTCATAGCGTGGCACTCAGTACAGTTAGCGGTACTCATTCTAGGCTCTTGGCTCTGCCCCTGCCCCAGCTTCCGCTGTCTGTAGTCAGAGCCATATGCTGAGTGGTGAAATGCATAGGTTCTGGAGGCTTGGCCTGGGTTGGAACCCCACTTACTAGCAACGTGCCCTTGGGCAAGTTCCATAAGACACTTTTCCTGTCTACGAAATGGGGATATAATTGTACTAGCAGAACCAGGAGCGTTTCGAGGATTGAGGGAGTTCCTGTGTGCACGGCACTTCTCCCTGGGCCCGGCACAGGCTGAGCTCCACCCAGGTGACTCACCTTCCCACGACCTTCAACACCGCGGCCTGGCCTGGAGAGGGCTACATTGCTACTCCAGCATCAGTCTGTGTTCTATGCTTTATTTACCCTGCTCCCCAGAATGGGATTCTGCTTCCAGTTTTTACTGTTGTCAGCAGCATTTCAAGGACTGTCCTCCTGGGGAAGGATTTGCTCTCGTCCTTAATTGTTTTCTCTGGTTAAACTTCTAGAAGTAGAATTGCCGTGTCAAAGAGGGGACTCGCTTTTAAAGGCTTTGCTGGATGGACGCTGCCAGATTCTCCTCCAGAAAAGGGACTAGTTTACACTCCTTCCAGCAGTGCCTGAGTGTGCCAGCTTCCTTGCATGGCCAGGTTATTAACTTTTAATCAAATGAAGGCCCAGGAAAAAATAGGAGATACTTCCCTGGGGATAAAGTGTTCCTTGCCTTTGCTCGTTAAGCAGTAAAAGCTTGCCTGTGTCACGCGTGCAGGCAGCGCCCTCTACTGGTTTTCCCTGGTGGAGAATGGTGAGCGGCAGTAGATGGGGACGCCCAGGTGGTCTCTAACTCCCGGGAGTGGCTGCAGGTGGCGGGGGCTAAAGGGTGCTAAAGGGTGACATTTTACCAAGACTCCCGGCTGGCTCTGCCCAGCCTCAGGTGACCTTTAGCTCTTGCTCGGTTTTCTTACAACAGTGCTTCACAAACTGGGATTTTGCTCCCCAGGGAACACTTCATACTGTCTGGAGACATATCTAGATGTCACAGATTGGGGGGCGGCTACTGATTTGTGGAAGATCAAGGCCAGGGATGCTGCTAAACATCCTACAATGCACAGGATCCCCCACCCCCAAACAAAGACTCATCTGGCCCGCATGTTTGTAGTATTTGGGCCAAGAAACCGTGTTTTAGAGGAATGGGAGAATTGTTCTAGAAGGCTTCTCTTTTCAGACGAAAATAGGATATAGAAATATTAATATTTAATATATATTACTATTAGCACTAATTTTTTTTGGTTCTGGAAACCTTTGTGCAGAATAAAATGGAAAATAGGAGGAACTGAAATAGCGCATTGGCATTTCTAGAAGAGCAGGCAAAGGGGGAGACATGAACTATAGTAATGTCATCAGTACTAATAAGGGAGGGCATTTTTTTCCTGTTAACTTGGCTTGGTTAAACCTACCATAAATGCCTGCAGCTTTCCCTTAAAGGCCTTGTCTGTGGAAAATAGTGCTTTACTGACACTCCCCGCCCCCCTCCCCATCCCCCGATTTCATGAGTCCTAGTATTTT